GTATTTTAAAAATACTAGAAAAAAACAGAAGTAAGAATCATCTATAACACTTAAAACATTGCGTAGAAGCTCACATCCTGCACCCATCTCATTCCACACTTGAAGGTACCCAAGGTTAAAAATGTTATGAACGTTCTCACTGTTCCCTGAGTTCACGTGGGCAGATCTACACAAAGTGCTCTCATTTCTCTGACAACGGATAGTGGCTCTTTCCCGAGTGTGCACTACAGCCCACCTCTCTGTTTTAATTGCTCCATTAGGCTTTTTCCATCCTGTTTCCCACATCTTTTTCCTCTGGTTCTTTCTGAGGTGTCACTCTTTTTCTGCCGTCTTGCTTTCTTCTGCCTTTCCTGTGATGCTTTTGTCTTTCTGTCCTTCCTTCCTTGCCATCTCTCATGTCTGTTGAGCAGGGAGCAGGGAGTGAGCCTCTGAGCCTCTGTAGGAAGTAAGTGCCACCTTGTGCAAATCCATGGCTGCGGGAGCCTCCACAAACCAGGAGAGAAGGGGCACGTGGCATGCTCCCTGCACCTTAGGTGTCCCTGTTCTCAGAGGGCTCCCGGGACAGGAGCTTGGCATGCCGCATCTTTTGTGACTTTATGCAAGAGCAGAGGCAATGGCCATCCAAACCCAAAGAGAGGGAGTGGCCTCTTCTTGCCCAGGAAGGAAGTCTCCAGGATGGCAGAAGCAAAGCAGGTGGGGTAAAAGCTCATAGGCTGTTAGGATCTAAAATGTTCGTTGTTTCTCCTTCTGAAATTACCAAATTTTAAAGTCATGAACAAAACATCTAACAGAACTGTTCGAGGTAACTTGCTGCAAATTCAAACTACAACCTTCAGAGGTTCAAGGCTTCCAAACCTTAGTGCACCATGAAAAACCCTCGAGTCTACCTTATCCTTGATTTGAATCTCTGAGTTCTTACTACTTTCATTCCTTCTGGGTTTCTACAGTTCTCAGGCTTTTTGCCATGCAGGAGACTCCCTCATAAACATACCAAGATTTTTAACACACCCCCAGACCAAATTTGAGGGAGAGTAAAGCATTAAAATAATTTGCAATCACATTTATTAACGATTCAACATTAAAGTTCACTATGGACTTCTACAGAATTTCTTACATTTCAGGTTTATTCCCATTTTCCACCCCTTTCTCTTCTGCTCAAGAAAACTCAGTGAAATGCAAGTGAAATTAACATTATTATATCCAATAAATTTTTCAAAAAGAGTAGATCATTCACAAACTCAATAGTTTACCTCTTATCGGTAACAAATTACTTATACCACATCTTATGACTAATCAAGACACACCAGGATGCTGTAATATTAATACCCGTGTGGCGGCTGCCTGGAAGTAGAGGGTGAGTTGCTCGGAGAGTGGCAAACACTTGCTCACCTTCCGGCTCCCACCTGTACTCATACACTTAAAGGTCCAGACCCCACGGGTTCGGTCTCCATGGACATGCCAGAGGATGAACACAGAGGTGGGATGTGCCCACGGAACACTGCTGGGGCCGGGGGCTCCCGGCCCTGATAGTACAACACATCAGCAGGCTGGCAGGTGCCCAGACCCATGATACCCATGATATCCTGGTCAATGATGTGTTCCTGGGAAGATATCTGACCAGATTTGGTGCTTCTTGGCTGATGTTGCTAAGTGTTAGGATGAGGACAGTCCTTTCACTCTAATCCTAATATGCGAATTTTCCTAATCCAGAAAAACCTATACCTGCTGAACGCCACCGAGGGTCTAGTCACAGACAAGAAGCTGCGCAGTCACCAGCGTTTCCTCCTGCCCAGAAGTAAGAATCCTTTCCTTTAAAAATAGTTTCCCCTTGTTGCTGCAGGAATTGACATTTGCATGGTTACACTGCACAGCAACACTGGCTGGTGGTGCTTGCTGACGAGCCAATATTTCATTATCTGGCAATTAAATTTTGAAAGGTTTTAAGCAACTTTAAAAAAACTATGCAGAGTTGCAGAGACATACTAATCGGGTTAATTATTGGACTTGACTGAAATATAAGACCTTAGTCAAGGCTCCTCCTTTTTCAAAGCTAAAGGGAACAAACAATCTTACCAATCTTACTTATCTTCAAGGTTTTGGTGCCTGTCCTATCTTTAGACGTGTTTTACTGGCCATTCGTATTGATCCCTTTGTTCAGAGTATCGTCGGGGTAAACAAAAAGTCAAACGTATTCATGTTGTGCTTTGCCCTTTAATTAATCTGAAATTCTTCCTTTCAGACACATCCACCAAAAACCCATACCTCTGCCAAGTAAGTATGATGAAGTCATGAAGAGCAGTGTCGGGTCGTGGTCAAGGCTGGATCTTAGTGCCTGACAGACCTAGGTTCTACCTCACACCGTCACTTCTAGCGCGTGATCTTGGTATCCCCTCTTGCTTGTTTCCTCACCTATAAAATGGGACCAAGGATATTTATTTCATAAAGTTGTTTTGAAAAGTAAACAGATTTGAGACAATTTTTATTTATTGATTTTAGTATTGATTTAATATTTATTGGTCATGCATCTTTTTTTCACAAAAATAATACAGCTGTTTTCAAAATAAGAAGATTAAGTAAAATAACATATGGAAAGTCCTGGCATAGAGCTTGGTAGGTCTTAGAAGGTTCTCAATACATGATAGCTATTTAAATTAAATCAAAAGTACATTTTAATGATCGTAAAATATATCTACAAAAGGTACCCTGAAAAGAGGGTATGGCAAATATCTGTATAATTTTCCCAAGGTAAATGTCACCCTAAAAATATATGAATCAGATAAGTCAGGCTCACAGAACGTAACTGCCCAAATCTTAATTTGCTTTTTACTCAATGTAAGAAAAAAAAGAAGAAAAAACTCTGCCTTACATAGATAATTTGGAATATATACCAAAATAATCAATATTAAATCCATTTAAATAAACAGAGTAATTGTTATATATAAAAACATATGTGCATTTTTACTAAACATAAGTTTTTTTAGGTTTTAATAACATTTTTATTCATCTTAAATAAATGAAACTTTTATTAAATAGTCTTTTTAAAATTCTGACAACACAAAGTGAAAATGATTTGGCTACAGAAATTTCTTTTTCATTAATTAAAAAGCTTTATTATACCTTTTATTGTTTTTCAACCCACGTCATTCTTTCAATTGTTATGGACCATCTGCCATGTGCCAGGCACTGTTCTAGGCTCAGGAGTATATGCTCAAGAAATAGTGAAGATTAATTAAAGGACTTTTCAAATCCCTTTCAGGATTTCCAGAAGCGGGAAGCCCAACTGTGGATGGGCCATTACCCAGCTTTTCACCTAATTCCACTATTTCAGAACAGGTATGAAATGAACTCCTGATGCCACTGAATTGTTACCGGGAAACTGCAGGAAAGGGCATGTCTTCTGAGAAGAGAGAGTTTGGAGTGAAGCTTGAAAACACAGTCTATATTTTAAGTCAGTTTTTGAGTGGTGGTCATTTGCTGATGGGTACAGAGCACTTGATTTTTTCAATGACTAAGACCTTGCTCCATTCCAATTTGTATTACAGATGCCCTGAATAACAATTAGTGTTTCTTCAAAACTAGCAAGGAAATGTGTTGTTTTCATTGTTCTTCCTCTCACATAGATTTTATTTAAACTTTGTAATTTTGTTAGAATAAATCTGTAGAGGCTTTTGATATGAAAACATATATAAGACAGCACTGTTTAGAGAGACTGAGAAGAGACCCTGCGTGCCCTTGGGCAAGTCTCTCTAAGCTTATGCAAAAAGATACGTAAAGATGTTAAGTATGTAAAAATGTAAAATAAGGATGAAAACATATAACCTTTTTGTCTTCAAAGAAGGCATGTAGCAAGAATCAAGTAAGATAATATTTGAAAAAAACACTTTGGAATTTATAAAGCACTCCATAAAACAACAACAATAAAAGCACAGTGGAAAGGCAGATTATTACTTATTCAGGAGAAAGAAATCAATGGTTCAGAAACCTGGTGGGATTTAGTCATATTCAAGTACTAAGTTTAGTAGTTAAGGCCAAATGGGGGGGAAAAGGTCAATGAAAAAAAGTAAAAAAAAAAAAAAATCCTGTGGTTTATCAAAGGAAGTATAAAACTCACTTTCAAATTATTGGTCCAAATGTAGTGAGGCTTGTCTTGGTAATGCAATTGGGGCTTTGTGTCTGGTGCACAGAAGTTACAGAGTTGTTTCGGGACCAGCTCACGCTTAACAATGCCCTCCATGTCACAGGAAGCTGACGTCCACTGTAAGCCATGGTATGCTGGTGCCTGCGACCGAAAGTCTGCTGAAGAGGCATTACACAGATCAAACAAGGTTTGAGCATTTCAAATCCTGTATTTTGCCCTCAGCCTCTGAGAGGTACAGTTGTCATCCTGATAACATGCTAACTATTTAAAATTGCAACAGTTATGGATGAAGGGGTCTTTTTCCTTACTCAAGAGAAACTGCCATCCCCTTCTCTCTTTCAACCATCTCCCTCTTTCTTCCTCCATCTCATTTCTTTTTTTTTTTTCAATTTTTAAAAGATTTTTGTAGAATCTGCAGACTTTTTGTTTTCAAAGTCTAATAGTTTTACCAGAATATGTCTCTGAGTTGGTTGTTCCAGGTCAATTTTCTCAGGTAGAAAGAAGCCCTTTTAATAATTAGATTTAAGTTTTCTCTTATATCCAGTAAGTTTTCTTGGATAATAGTCTTAAAGGGTAGTTCTGTTCCATTGTTTTGTTTTTCTTCTTCAAGGACTCAATTTACATGCATTTTGGATCTTTTTTTGGTCATTCTTTCATTCCAATCAGTCTCTCTGAACTTATTGTACTTCTTTTATTAAATCTCTCTTTTTTTTATTGTCTTGGTTGTTTCCATATCTTCCTTCAGTGTCATTTATTAAATCTTCATTTAAAACTATTGTCCCTTGGACATCCTATAATTTTTTCTTTGTTTCTGATGTGGGTTTGTCTTTTTCTTCAATTTTTTTTCCTGAATTTGATCAACTCCTATTGCATTTCATTCTGTTTTTTGTCCATTTATTGTTTATAATTTTTGAATTTATAATTCCAGAATATTTTTATATAATATTTAATAAAATTTGAAGTATTATATTACAGTTTTGGGGATTTTTTGTTGTTGTTTCCATATAAGTTATTTGGGGAGAGAATTTTCATCAGCTGAAAGTTTTGATTCCCAATCTCTGTTTTCTTCTTATAGTACTTTTGGGTTTGTGGTTTTTTTTTTTCCTTACAGTACCTTTGAATGGAATTTGTTTGATACTTTTTTTTCCCATAGGCAAGTGGTATACATGGTTCCTAGTTCAAGAGAGTCCCTGAGTTTGATTTTAATGTCTGTACAAACATTTCTAAATTCTATAAACGTAATACATTATCTGGCACATCAAAAAGCTAGCATTGACCTCATTCAGGATTTTCTACAAGTATATATTTTGCTGGACTATTTTCTTGGAAAACAATAAAACAAACTCTAATCAATAATAAAAATCATGTAGCTAAAAATAATCACCTTTGGAGTATAATATAAACTGATTTTTAAACTGTAGAAATATAAGTAACACTAACCATAATCATGTGTTTCTTTTATTAAACAGGATGGATCATTTCTTATTCGGAAAAGCTCTGGCCATGATTCCAAACAGCCATATACACTAGTTGTGTTCTTTAATAAGCGAGTATATAATATACCTGTGCGATTTATTGAAGCAACAAAACAGTATGCTTTGGGCAGAAAGAAAAATGGTGAAGAGGTCAGTAATTTCTCTTTTAATTCAACTCTACAACTATGCATTGAGCCCAATGGCATCATACTGTATTAGGTGCTAGAGATGAGGAAAAAGGATCCAAGAGTATGTGGTCTTATCCTTGCATAAATGTCATAAATAGAGAATATGATAATATACTATATTTGGGCAACATATCCTTTGAGAAAACAGAAAAGGAAAAAATGATGTACGTCTTAATCCTTTTCTCCACTTACTTAATGAGGTCAGTTTGACCTAAGATTCGAGTCCAGGGGCACATAAAAATCGAGGTTGAAATGTCAAATAGAATTAAGGTTGTCAGAATCAAGGTCAGGGTCCAGAGCTCCAAAGTCAAGACCTAGAATCTCAACTTGGGTACCAAGGTTAGGCGACCAGGGAAGGATCCAGAAGAGACGCAGAAACTTGAGTTAAAACATTAGACTATAACTCTCGTACCAGAATGAGCTTATGGATCTGCAGCAAGAAAAAAACATCATATGAGTCTTAAATATTAACTGACCATGAACTTTAATGACTCTTTAATCAGGGCCAAACTCAATGCTTATCATATCCCAATTTAGCCAGCCTGTTTGTATAAATGAACCCTGAAATATGAGCTGGAGTGACGTACGAATGATTCAGAAAGGGAGTGATACTTGTTCTGCTTTTGAATTATGAGTTGAATTTGAGTAAGTAGAATGAGAGTTGGAGGGAAGGAGGAGGAGAAAAATGGAAGGAATAATCTAAGCAGAGAAAATAGCATAAACAAAGTTCAAGGTAAGAAATATTTATTTCCAAGGTTCCTTCAGAAAAAGCCACACCATTACAGAACTTGTTAGTGTTTGAATTGTTGGAAGGTGTCATAATTGCTGAAGTGTCTGTCTTCTCCACTAGATGAAGTCAGGGACTATGTCTTGTTCATATCTATATTTCCAGAACCAGAGCACAGTGGCTGGCTTCAGTGGACACTTGATTCATACTTACTGAATGAATCGAATGATTACAGACAGGAACATAGCATTTGTAAAACAAACTGAAAAGGTCTTGTGTGTTCTTTATTTTGCTTCTGAAAAAAAATTATGGCAAAAAACATATATCATACAATTTACCATCTTAACCATTTTAAAGTGTATAGTTCAGTAGTGTTAAGCATATTATATTTACATTGTTGTAAAACAAATCTCCAGAACTTTTTAATCTTACAGAACTGAAACTCTACTCCCATTAAACAACTTTCCTTTTCACTCTCCCTTCAGCCCCTGACAATCACTTTCTAGTTTTATGAATTTGACTATTTTAGATACCTCATATAAGTGGAATTACACAGTATTTGTCCTTTGCGACAGGATTATTTCACTTAGCATAATGTCCTCAAAGTCATCCATGTCATAGCATGTTACAGGATTTCCTTGCTTTTTAAGGCTGCATAGTATCTAATTATATCTATATATTTTGTTTATCTATTCATCCATCAGTGGACATTTGCATTGCTACCACCTCTTGGTTATTGTGCATAGTGCTGTTATGAGCATGGTTCTTTTGAGTATATACCAGAATTGCTGGATCATATGGTCATTCTATTTTTAATTTTTTTGAGGAACTGCCATACTTTTTTTGTAGAAGTTGTACCATTTTACAATTCTACCAACAGTACACAAGGGTTCAACTTCCTCACATCCCCATCAATATTTGTTATTTTCTGGGTTTTTTTGTTTGTTTATTTGTTTATAGTAGCCATCCTAGTGGGTGTGAGGTAATATCCCATTATAGTTTTGATTTGCATTTCTCTGGTGATTCATGTTGTTGAACATCTTTTCATATGCTTGTTGGCCACTTATATATCATGTTTGGACAAATGTCTATTCAAATCCTTTGCCCATTTTTAAATCAGGTTATTTGATTTTTTTTTGTTGAATGTTAGGAGTTCCTTATATATTCTGGATATTAATCCCTTATCATATATAAGATTCACAAATATTTTCCCCCATTCTGTAGATTATCTTTTCACTCTATTGATTGTGTTCTTTGCTGAAGAAAAGTTTGACATTTGATGTAGTCTTATTTGTCTATTTTTGCTTTTGTTGCCTATGCTTTTAGGTCATATCCAAAAAATCACTGCCAAATCCAATGTCATGAAGTTTTCTCTGTATGTTTTCTTCTAGGGTTTTTATAGTTTGGGGTTTTCTTTTGCATTTAATAATGTCTCAGATAATTAGAAAATGTAAAACTCTTGAATCTGAGAGCACTGATCAAGGCCAAACTTGGGTTTTAAAATGTAGATTGCATTATCATTTAACATTTTAAAGCCTCCCAGGGGTCTGACTCTTCTATAAGAGGCTTAAGGGTAGGTGAAGGAACTGTCCTATTTAGATGTCCTGAAATTCTCTCTCATAAATTTTGAGCTGCCAGAGGGGCTCTGGACTTAATTGTCCTTCTAGGAAGCGCACTGGTAGACAGGAATTCCTCTGGGCTTAATGAATTTTCATCCCTACTTGAGAATTAATAGATCAGAGCTTCACCTTACTCCTAACATATCCAACCTATGGATTCCAAAATAAGTAGTATATTACTATAATGGCAGTTGGAGGTACTGACAGCCAATTAAAACTCTTAAATTATCTACAATAAAAAGATCATGTCGCTCATATGCTGAACATCTGAATGGAAAATAAAAATGATGTCAACCATGTGGTTTTTTTTTTTTTTTTAGTTGTCCAATTAATTTCTTTCTATTTTTAGTAGAGACGGGGTCTCGCTCTTGCTCAGGCTGGTTTCGAACTCCTGAGCTCAAACAATCCGCCCGCCTCAGCCTCCCAGAGAGCTAGGATTACAGGCGTGAGCCACTGCACCCAGCCTCATGTGTATATTTTTTAAAAGTCTGTGTGTCTGTATTTGTGTGTATATGGGTAAAAAACGTAGCCAATTGATTAACTGTTTAACTTTTTATGCAGCTTTTTTGACATTTTGTGATACAGTATTGAGTAATTTTACAGCTTTGATGACTGTCTATTTTATTGGCCATGAGATTTTGAGTTATCAAACAAGTCTTTCTTTTCTGTCTATATATGAATATCTCAAATACATTGAATTAATGTAAACAGAAAAAAAAGAGAACTGAGGGAAAACTGCAACTAAGTTATGCCTGATTCTTCTTTCAATTAAACTGTAAATATTCTTCAACTCTACTCCCTACTTAAGACATTTCAATTCAACTCAACTCCCTACTATAAACATTTCAGTCCCCAAATGCTACAACAAGGCAATACTCAACAATATTCAGGGATTAGATGGACAGAATGAGACATTTGTTTGTGTAAGTACAGCAACTCTCTCTTATTCTTTCTGGGTTCAGAACATACTTTTTCTGTTGGAATCCAGTTCAAAGAGGTTGTACTATTTCGCTTCCTAGCCCTTCAATCTATAAATTTAACTTTCAACTGCATTTGGTTTAACATGTTATGCCAAACAGAATGAATGTCTTGTGGGATTTATCATAAAAGAATTTCACTGACCAATGCAAGAGGGCTGAATGATTGAATAGAAAGTGAGGAATAAAGAATAAAGGTATTTGAAGGTCCCTGTCTCTCCTCCTCCCTCACCTGATATTCAGCTAGCCAATTATCTAAAAGACAACTGGTATTTCATTTGAAAAATTGGCCAATATTATAAATATTTTACTTTATTCAACATGTAGATACTTGAAAGCCAAACAATTAATAAAGGCTTTTCAACATTTTTATCCCAGATGTTTGTCTTTATCTGAAAACCTAAGACAATAAAATCAATTGATAGTAATTGGTAAACTCAAGGCACTGTTGCAAAATAATTACCACCTTTTAAAAATGACTCTGAATACATTTATTTGGTGATTGTGAACTTGTAGCATTTTTGTATAGTCAATGCATTTGATTTCATGGTCTGTGTTACATTTATTTTATCTTGCATTTAAAACTTCAATTTTCAGAAAAAATTTGTGATATTAAATTAAACACCATAGACAACAGGGATTAAAACATATAAAAATAAATATGTATGGTCAGAGCCCAGCATGAAATTTTGTTGTTAGTTAGGCACTAAGTTAACTCTAAGGCTAACTGGGAGCCAAGTAAAAATGGAAATACGAGGATTTATAAAGCTTTCTTTATTTGTTCAAAAACCCATAATTTATCTAAGAAAAACTTTTTCCTGTTACTAAATTCTAAGGTTAATTTATTACATAAATTCTCATATCCAAGACTTGTGCAAAGTAATAATAACTGTTTTGTAAAGAATGAAGAATAATTCATTGTATGACAGTTTCACATTTGACACTAAATAAAAAGCAAGATATTAAAATATTGTATCATAACTCAATGAAGTAATTTCTCTATGTAGTTTTACTAATTGGGGCTGTCAGTGTGTTTTTTGTCTTACTGAATATTGGAAAGTCCAGAATCTTCCATTTGAAGGTTACAGTCTTTGTTAGACTTTTTTGGGCAGAATGTCAACTGGGACCTAGTAACTTTTACTAACTTGAGAAAGTGGAAGAAGATTAACATAAATGCCAATGTATAATTCACCTGTTTTCTTTTTCTAGTACTTTGGAAGTGTTGCTGAAATCATCAAGAATCATCAACATAGTCCCCTGATTCTTATTGACAGTCAGAATAACACAAAGGATTCCACAAGACTGAAATATGCAGTTAAAGTTTCATAAAAAAAAAAAAAAAAGACAAAGAAGGTCAATGTTGTTGCTTCACACATTTCCCCCAAGTTTCTCCTTTTGAGAAAAAGTCCCAAAACTTCATATTTTGGATTATGAATCATCCAGTCATAACATGGAAGGTGGAGGCAGCTATGGAGGTGGTCATCCGTTTCTTTATAAGACGTTCACATGGACTCGTTCTACCTATTGCCTGACCTGATGAACTGTTAAATCTGGTGAGGTTGAGTTATCATGCTACTAATATTCTCCAAATAAATGTCTTTATTTAAAAGAAACAGGTGTGAAGTATTTTCAGTCATGAGTAAGAAAAAACACTCATTTTCAAAATAAAATATTCTTGCATAAAACAAAGCTGCTGAAAATTTAACCCCCCACAATGGTCACGGGTGTACTAATGTAACTGGGCTGTCCACTGCTAATGCTTGATGATTAAGTCTTGGTTAAAATTTTAATGTGTAGAAAAGAAAATATTACAGGTAATTTATTATATGATATTTGTAAGCACAGACAAGGAAGATGTAACTGTTCCTTTTTGTGAGTACTCATAACCATGGGAAATGTATACGAGTATGAACTTTTTAGAAGTTCTTGTCCAGGATTATGTTGTTACCTTTCTTTATTGAAGATAATTAGGGCCAGGTGCAGTGGCTCACACCTGTAATCCCGGCACTTTGGGAGGCTAAAGCAGGAAGATTGCTTCAGGCCAGCAGTTCGAGACCAGCCTGAGCAACATAGTGAGAGTCATCTTTATAAAAGATTTAAAAATTAGCCAAGTGTGGTGGCACGCACCTATATTCAGGAGGCTGAGGCAGGAGTTGGAGGCTGCAGTAAGCTATGAATGTGCCACTGCACTCTAGCCTGAATGACAGAGCAAGACCCTATCTCTAAAAAAAATTAAAAAGAGAATTATATCTTCTTTGATCTGCATGTCTATCAAGTGGAACCTAAACTTGATATGAGGCTCAAAGTGGAATGACAGCAAAACTAGGCTAAAATCCAGTTTCTAGGGAAACATGCCATAGAACAAGGGCAGAAAAGCAGACATTGATGAACAGCAGGAGAAAAAGAGATACCATTATGTGAGCCATATGTAAGGTCTTAGATCATCCCAGAAATGTATCATACTTTGTCATTTGTGGCCATCAGAAGCCTGAATTGTGCTATCATGAGTTAGCCATGGCAATGGTTTCGAGACCCTGCACTCTAAAAGCTAAACTACTCTTACTGCAGCTGGATTTGCCTAAAAGGTAGTCCCGAAGAACAGAATACAGTGGTGTGAAACAAAGCCAGCACAACATGAGACATGATCTTAAAACAGGACTGAATTTCTGTCCTTAAGATGCCATGTAACTCAGCTTCTATTTCTAGATAGGGTTGCATGGGAATCGCTGAAAGACCTGCCTCCCAGCAATGCTCTTGGCACTTAGTGGCTATGTTTAACCACAAGGTGAGAGAGTACTGGCTTCAGAGTTAGACAGGTCTGGGTTAGATCTACCATTTATCAGTATGTTATTGGGAATGTTGCTTACCACTCTAAGACTCAGTTTCCACATCTATAAAACAATATATTTCTGGTAATGATACAAGCGTTAAAATAATTTAGCATAGGCTAAGTGCCTGGCACTTAGTTGTGCCTAATAAACATTAATTCCTAGTCCCCTTAACCAAAATCTAGCTTGCAGAGATAAAAATAATCTGTGGGTGACTCTTTAAATAAACCTACCTATAAGTATTCTGGAACATTTAATAATTGCGCCTCAGGAAAATCCCAAATATTTCCTCCACATTCATGGTTCTTTTTAAAAATTTTTTTATTGATACATAGTAGATGTACATAGTTTCAGGGTATGTGTAATAATTTAATACATTCATATAATTTGTAAAGATAAAATCAGTGTACTTGGGATATCCATCACCTAAAATATTTGATTCTTCTTTATGCTAGAACCATTCAAATTCTTATAACTATTAATATTTTGAAATATACAGATTATAAACTATAGCAACCCTACTGATATATCTAATACTAGGTAGATCTTATTTCTTCTATCAAACCATATATTTGTGCTCATTAATCAACTTTTCATTCCCCCTCTCCCCCTATTCTTCCTGGCCTCTGGTAACCACCAATCTAATCTCTATCTTCATGAGATCCACTTTTTAGCTTCCACATGTGAGTGAGGATATGCAATATTTGTCTTTCTACACTCTTTCTCTTAACATAATGACCTCTAGTTCCATCCATGTTGCTGCAAATGACAGGATTTCATTCTTTTTATGGCTAAATAATATTCCATTGTGTATATGTACCACATTTTCTTTATCCATTCATCCACTGATGGGCACTTAGGTTGATTTCAAATCTTGGCTATTGTGAATAGTACTGCAATAAATGTGGGAGTGCAGATGTCTTTTTAATATGTTTTTTTTTTCTTTTTAATATGTTGATTTCCTTTCTTTTGGATATATGCCCAATAGTGTAAATGCTGGATCATACGGTAGTTCTATCTTTAGTCTTTTGAGGAACCTCCATACTGCACTCCATAGTGGCTGTACTAATTTACATTCCCACCAACAGTGTACAAGAGTTTCCCTTTCTCCATATCCTCACTAGCATTTATTATTGCCTTTTTGACAAAAGCCATTTATTTTAACTAGGATGAGATGATATCTCATTGTAGTTTTGATTTGCATTTCTCTGATGATCAATGATGTTAAGCATTTTTTACATACCTGTTGGACATTTGCATGTCTTCTTTTTTTGGTAAATGTCTATTCAGATCTTTTGCTCATTTTGAACAGTTATTTCTTTTCTTATTGTTAAATAGTTTGAGTTCCTTGCATATTTTGAATAATAGCCCCTTCTCTGACATATGGTTTGCAAATATTTTCCCCCATTCTGTGGGTTGTCCCTTTACTTTGTTGATTGTTTGGTGTGTGGAAGCTTTTAGCTTGATGTAATCCCATTTGTCTATTTTTGCTTTAATTGCCTGTGCTTTTGAGGTCTTACACAAAAATCTTTCCCAATGCCAGTGTCCTACAGCATTTTTCCAATGTTTTCTTCTGGCATTTATAGTTTCAGGTCTTAGATTTAAGTCTTTAATCCATTTTTATTTGATTTTTGTATATGGCAATAGGTAAGGGTCTACTTTCATTCTTCTGCATATGGTTATCCAGTTTTCCCCCCATCATTTATTGAAGAGACTGTCCTTTCCCCATTGTATGTTCTTGGCACCTTTGTAGAAGATGAGTTGACTGTAAATGCATGGATTTATATCTTTGTTCTTTATTCTGTTCCATTGGTCTATATGTCTGTTTTTATACTAGTACCATGCTGATTTGGTTACTACAGCTTTGTAGTAAATTTCAATGTCAGGTAGTGTGATGCCTCCAGCTTTGTTATATTTGCTCAGGATTGCTTTGGCTACTCAGGGCCATTTGTAGTTCCATATAAATTTTAGGAGTTTTTCTTTTTCTGTGAAGAATGTCATTGGTATTTTGATATGGATTGCATTCAATCTATAAATTGCTTTGGGTAGTATTGTCATTTTAACATAATTAATTCTGATCAATGAGTATGGAATATCTTTTCAGTTTTTGTGTCCTCTTCAATTTCTTTCATCAATATTTTATAGATTTCCTTGTGTAGATCCTTCGCTTCTTTGGTTAAATTGATTCCAAGGTATGTTATAGTCTCTGTAGCTATTGTGAATGGGATTGCTTTCTTGATTTCTTTTTCAGCTTGCTCATTGTTGTCATACGTAATAGAAATGCTACTGATTTTTACATGTTGGTTTTTGTATCCTGCAACTTTATTGAATTCTTTCATCAGTTCTAACAGTTTTTGGTGGTGGTTTTTCTGAATATAAGATCATGTTATCTGTGAAAAAGGCTGATTTGACTTCTTCCTTTCCAACTTGAATGCCATTTATTCCTTTCTCTTGCCTAATTGCTTTGGCAAGGACTTGCAATACTACCTTGAATAAAAATAGTGAAAATAGTCATCCTTGTCTTGTTCCAGATCTTAGAGGAAAGGCTTTCAATTTTCCCCCATTCAGTATGATGTTAGCTGTGGGTTTGTCATACGTGGCCTTTATTATTTCAAAGTATGTTCCTTCTAGACCCGGTGTGCTGAGGGTTTTTATCTTAAAGGGATGTTGAATTTTATTGAATGCTTTTTTTTTCTTTGGCATATTTTGAAAAAAAATCATATGGTTTTGTTCATAGTTCTGTTAATGTGAAGCATCATGTTTATTGACTTGTGTATGTTGAACCATCCTTGCATCTGTGGGATGAATCCTACTTGAGCGTGGTGAATAATCTTTTTTTGTTGTTGAATTTGGTATACTAGTATTTTGTTGAGAATTTTTGCTTCTGTGTTCATCAGATACATTAGCCCATAGTTTTCTTTTTTCATCGTGTCCTTGTCTGATTTTAGTATCGGGATAATGCTTGCCTCATAGAATAAGTTTGGAAGTATTCCCTCCTCTTCAATTTTTTTTGAGGGGTTTGAGTAGAATTGTTATTAGTTCTTCTTTAAATGTTTAGTAGAATTCAGCAGTGAAGCCATCAGGTTCTGAGCTGCTTTTTGATAGGACTTTTTATTGAAAATTCAACTTTATTACTTGTTATTGTTTTATTAAAGTTTTCCATTACTTCATGATTCAATCTTGGTAGGTTGTATGTGTCCAGGAATTTATCCATTTCTTTTAGGCGTTCCAATTTGTTGGTGTATAGTTGTTATAGTTGTTCATAATACTCTCTAATGAGTCACTGTATTTCTGTGGTCTCAGTTCTTATGTTTCCTTTTTCACTTGTGATGTTATTTATTTAGGTCTTCTCTTTTTTTTTTTTCCTTAGTCTAGCCAACTAGACTTCTTGTCAATTTTGTTTACTTTTTCAAAAACCAACTTTTCATTTCCTTGATCTTCTGTATTATTAGTCACAATTTCATTTATTTTTGTTCTGATCTGTATTGCCTTCTACTAATT